CGCGCTGGGACTCTCTCTCTCTCTCTCTCTCTCTCTCTCTCTCTCTCTCTCTCTCTCTCTCTCTCTCTCTCTCTCTCTGTGCACGTGCTTTTGGTTTTCAAAGCAACGGGAATGAATCTTCTCGCTCTCCGCTGTCTGCGGGAAGATTCATTCCCGTTGTTTTCAAAACTTGAAGAACGCGCACAGACACACACAGAGAGAGAGAGAGAGAGTCCCAGCAGTGGCGCTGTAAATGCGCCGTCTCTCTCTCTCTCTCTCTCTCTCTCTCTCTCTCTCTCTCTCTCTCTCTCTCTCTCTCTCTCTGCCCATGCATTTGGATCTCTTTGCTCGTGTGTTTGGTTCTCTCTGCGCGTGCGTTTGGTTTTGAAAACAACGGGAATGAATCTTCCCGCTGTCCGCAGGAAGATTCATTCCAATTGTTTTCAAAATTTGATGAGCGCGGAAGGGGGGGGGAGAGAGAGAGAGAGAGAGAGAGAGAGACGGCGAGTTTGCAGCACCACTGGCCGGCGAACGCGCCGGCTCTCTGTCTCTCTCTCTCTCTCTCTCTCTCTCTCTCTCTTCCGCCCGTACTGTATCGGACTTTCATGTACAATTTCATTTGCCTTCTTTTTTCGCTTTCTAAAAAGGCGGGGACATACCTTTCTAGGCCTTTTGGCTGTTTTTGTGTAGTTTCTGTTCATAAGTAGAATAAAAAAAACCAAAATAAAATAAAAATGGTGGGGAGATCTATTTCTTTTCCTTCCTAAAAAGGAGGGGAGAAAAGAAGGTTATGGAGAGGTTATGGAGATGTGCAGGAAATCGAGATTGAACTGCTCTTCTGCATCTCTGCATAAAACACATCCAGATTCAGGAGCTCGATCCTATCCTTCTTGCTACTAGTGGGACCTGGGCCCTGTTGGTTGATCACAGAAACAGTTGCATCGCCCCCCCCCCCCTCTCCCAAAACAAAACAAAAAAAAAAAACAGAGGAACTTCCACTTGTACCTTATGGCAGCTTCGGTTTTACCATTTTTATTTTTATTTTAATTAAAAGGCAAATGAATCGAAATTTCAGGGGCATCTCGAAAATTGTCCCAAAACAAAAAGGAGAAGGAATTAAAAAAAAAAAAAAAAAAAAGGGACAAGGAAAAGGACTGTCGGACCCATCATCTTTGACGTGACCTTCTTTTTTTTTTCGGTTTTTGAAAAACGGAGGGACACCCAAGAGCCTAGCTCAGTGGGTACACCCATGAACTGTTGAAATACAGAACCCTGTTCGAATCCAGATAATGGAAGTTGACGAGTAAAACCAAGTTAAACTACTAATGAATTGCTTGGGGCCGGTCAGCTCAATGATAATATCTCAAGGCCGTCGCTCTTTTGAAATTAAAAAAAAAACACGGAGAGAGTCCCTACCATTATTGGACCCGTCGACGAAGTAGGAGTCCAGGGCCGAGGTCCCACTAGCAAAGAGGATCAGATTGAATGCCTGAATCTGGACGATTGCGAGGAGAGGTGCAGAAAATCGAGATTGAACTGCATTTCGGCATCTGTGCATAAAACAAATCCAGATTCAGGATCTCAATCCAATCCTCTTTGCTAGTGGGACCTCGCCCCAGGAGCCACGACCCACTTGCCGAAATCCTGCACTTGTGACCGTAGATCTCTCCAATCTGCGGTCTGTAATGAAGGATACGGGTAAATGGGACTTGGCCCCAGCTCCTGACCAGATGATCACAGAGCAGTTGCACGTGTGTACCATTCATCCACACTCTTGCGGCTTAACGTGCACCTGTAAATGAAATGCCTCGCACACCCATGAGCCTAGCTCAGTGGGTACACCCATGAACTGTTGAAATACAGACCTGTGTTCGAATCCAGATGATGGAACGTGACGAGTATAATTAACTACTAATGAATTGCTTGGGGCCGGTCAGCTCAATGACAATATCTCAAGGGCGTCGGCGGAGAAACTGTGAATAAGAGAATGGCAGCTCATTAGTCCAGAGGACGTATGGGTTTGTTTTTTTGTTGAGTCATTCATGAGGAAGAAATTGACCTCGGAATTCTGGGATGCAGTGTGGAAGGCGTGGCTGAAGCAACCACCAGAGGAAAGGGAGCCACCGAGGACTAAAGAGGAGGTGCTGCGGCAGGGACTGCTAGAAAACTACTTCATTGTAAATGAAGAGGGAGCGAGCTTTCGAGCCGATGGGTCCCCGGGGTCATTTGGTAGGGCATGGATACTAAGGGGAGTCTCCAGAATAATGGATCTGTGGTCCGAGCCTCTGGGTACCTGGAAGCCATTCGGGGAGATTCATCAGTCCCTTCGGGGGCTATGGCACACGGAGGAGCACTGCCAGCAGCTGCTTCGGGCCATCCCAGCAGACTGGCAACTCCTCCTGGGTCCAGAGGGAGTAGACCCGGTGGGCACTTGGTGCATTGCACCATCGGAGCAGGGCAGAGAGGAACTGTGGGAGCTGCAGGGGTTCACACAAGGGGGGTTCAGAGAGGTCCAGAGATGGGCTACAGCAGTTCCAAGCTCCACTCTAGTCCCTGCAGGGAGAGAGGTAATTCAACAGTGGACTAACCCACCACAAGCCAGAGTCATTCAAGAGAGGAATCGAAGAGGAACGGTCCGGACCACAGTGTGGGTGGGGAGAGCTTCCTCCAGAGAGCTACCAATCGACCCAAGGGCTTGGAAGTGGAGGGAAGGAGTGGCCTCAAGAGAGAACCCACATGGGGCCTATCTTTCAAGCTACTCAGTGGCAGAGTTCTACAAGCTGGCGAACAGAAGAAGGAGAAACCCAGCAAGCGTTGCAGTGGCCAGATGGGGTGCAGTCCTAATGGAAGACCTACAGAGAAGGGAAGGAGATTTTTTTTTAATTATGGAATGTGCTACTCACCCTTCCGGATCTGAAACAAGCGAGTCTTCTTTGGATGCTCTCCCTCCTGGTTACTCCTTCAGCGGTATGGTTATGCAGTAGAGGGATGGAGGAGGTTCCCCTGAAATGCTCACGCTGCTCATGGCCATTCGAGTCCACCAAACACTTGTGCTGGAACTGCCCAGTGTCGAAAAGGGTGTGGAAATGGTGGGAAGACCATTGGAGAAGAATGGGAGGTGAAGGTATTGAGTGGGACGAGCGATGGGTGCTACTGGGATTTGTTAAACCACCAGTACTTGGGGTCGGCCTTAGCGTTAACGCCAGTGCCGGACCCGTGAACGTGAACGGGTCCGGCCACCTGAACGTGACCGGCCGTTCACCGGGTCCGATTCCCGTGAACGGCCGTTCACAGGGGCCGTTCACGGCCCTGGTGGCCACGTGGCAGCTCGGGTGGTCGGCGTCGAGGTGCGATCGGGGTCGCGCGGGGTCCAGCTAGGACCCCGTACCTTCAAATCAGAAAAAAAAAAA